AAATAAGCTAAAAAAAATTTTTTTCAGAAATTTTTAGGCAATGGAAACTGCCTAAATTCATGATAAGGTCAGAGCACTTTCTTGTAGTATGAGGTACTAAGACCACTGAAGATGTCACCAAGTTTTGTTTTTTGCTTTTTGTTTTAAATATTTAGCAGCTGGGCTCAGTGGCTCAGTCTGTAATCCCAGTACTTTGGGAGGCTGAGGCAAGTGGATTGCCTGAGGCTGCACGTTCGAGACCAGCCTGGGCAACTTGGTGAGATCTCATCTCTACAATAATTCAAAAATTGGCCGGGTGCGGTAGCGCGCACCTGTAATTCCACCTACTTGGAAAGCTGAGGCGGAAGGACTGCTGGAGCCCAGCAGGTCGATACTGGGGTGGCGGTGAGTGTGCCACTGTACTCCAGCCTGGGCGACAGAGTGAGACTCCAATTCAAAAAGAAAAAAAACGTTTAGCAACATAATATTTAGAAAGATACTTAAACATTGGTATCTTCTTTAACTTCAAATTTTGCCCCAGCTCACGGAACGTCCCTATCCAAAGCAGTTACTTAAATTAACAATAAATCAAATCAAGGTGGGGGTTGTGGGGAACAGCGTAGCAGGAGAATGTGGCCCCAAACATGTGCCATATCTGGTAGTAATTTCTATTTCAATGACCAAAATCTTTACATGCACACTAAAACAATGCACTAATTTGTGACCAGCTTGTATATGACAGTATTTGTCTACTAATTTAATTCTTTGCATACATGTAATGAAACTTTTAGCTTAAATGAAAATAACAAACCTTTTGAGTTTTAGAGTTCTAAACCAAACACTAATCGCAGCAGTTCTAATTTCTAAAAACAAAAACTTAAGACTTAGTGTTAAGTGAGAACCTCCCTATGAATAAAGTATAGTGAAAAATTCTTTTTTTTTTTTTTTTTTGAGTTGGAGTCTCACTCCGTGGCCCAGACTGGAGTGCAGTGTCATGCTCCCGGCCAGCGCAGCCTCAACCTGCTGGGCTCTGGCGATCCTTCCGCCTCAGCCTTCCAAGTAGCTGGAACTACAGGCGCATGCTACCACGCCCGGCTAATTTTTTGATTTATTGTAGAGATGAGGTCCCGCCAAGTTGCCAAGGCAGGTCTCGAACCCGCGGACTCAGGCAATCCACTCACCTCAGCCTCCCAAAGCGTGGAATTACAGGCTGAGCCACTGAGCCTGGCTCAGTGAAAAATTCTTAAAAGAATTTTACTCAATTATCTAATCAATCTTTTTTCTGCTTATGTAACAATAAGATATGTCTAACACAGAAACTAACAGTGACCAACCACCAAAAGCTGCCAAGACCTGGGAAATAACAGGGGAAGATAGTTCTATTCTCACCCCACCACCCAATAGCTTTTTCAAATTTTTCATGGGAAAGGAGGAAAATGGTGGTGGTGGGAGTGGGAGAAAGACAATTTCATTCTACAGCTGTCTTTGTTTTTGATCTACACTTTCATGACTAGTCCATACTTTAAGACTGAGGTTGCAAAGTGGTGGACTATAAACATGCTTTGTTCTGATTAGTCCTTGAAACATTTTAAAATTAATTGCTATTCTTTCAATATCAGGAAATTTCACGTAAAAATCTTGATTTCCAGTATCTTGTTGAATCAGAAAACCTGGCAACACCAAGCCTGCACAATAACGAATGGGCCAGAGCTGAGCATGACTGCTTCTTTCAGACAGGACCCTCCTTGTTTCTCACACTTGGCCACCTTCATTCATTTACATTATCCATCCAGGACCTATAGACACTGAGATTTTGCCCCCAACCCACTTATCTTTCATAAACTAGAATAAGCTTCCATATAGAAATCCTAAAATTCTACTGCATTTCTCTTAAATAAGGAGTTCTTTGAAAGGTACACTAGTTTCCCTAATCATCTTCTTTATTCTTTCCATTCTTTTTGTTTTTTGTTTTGAGCTGGAGTCTCATTCTGTTGCCCAGATTGGAGTGCATGCTCATGGCTACCACAGCCTCGACCTGATGGACTTCAGGCGATCCTTCTACCTCAGTCTTCCAAGTAGCTGGGACTACAGGCACGCACCACCACACCCAGCTAATTTTTTGGTTTATTGTAGAAACGAAGTCTTGCCAAGTTGCCCAGGCTGGTCTCGAACCTGTGGGCTCAGGCAATCTTTTCACCTCAGCCCCCAAAGTGCTGGGATTTTAGGAGTGCACCATCGTGCCCGGCTTTCTTTCCATTCTTGATTACCAAATGTCAGTGACGTATGCTGACATTATCATTAAATTACTTTCAGTTTATAAATAGATATGACAAAACGTACTGATTTCTCTTTGAAGATCACTGTATGGAATAATTTACTATGAGCAAGCACATTTTTTAATGCACATCCAACCTATTTCTTTTGGAAGCTGACTAAACCAACCTAGGAATAAAATTGTCACCAAAGATGCAGACAGCAAGTCAATCAGTAATTACGGACAATCAAGAGCTTAGAAGAGATAATAAAGAGTGGTTTGTGATCAGTAATTACTGGGAGCCAAGGTGGGTTCACCAAGAGTAAGACATCAAATAGATGTCACTTCCTATTTAGATAAAATTACTATATTGGTAGATCAGAGGAACACGGTAGAAATTATAGAATGATTTTAGGAAACTCCTTCATGAAATGTCTGATAAGAAAAGAAGATAAAATGTGGGCTGGATAATAATATAATTTTAATTGACTAAAAATCCTTCCCCAAGCATTTTGAACCGGTAATTGGGAAAAAGTTCTCGAGTGGAATACTGTAGGGCTTGCTTGCTTGAGCTCTCTCTCTCTCTCTCTGACCTCTGGGCATTCAACATTATTTTTTACCAATAACTTGAAAGATAAAACATATCTACCAAATTTGTAAATAACACAATGCTGAGATATATAATGGGACAAATGACAGAAATAATGTTTGAAATGACTGAGCTAGAACAAATGGATCAAAAAGAATATGACATTTAATAAGAGATACATACGTATCTGCATATAAATTCAGAGCATCAACTAAAAATGTCAAATACACAACTAGAAAGGAGGGGACATCTGCCTTCATAGCACTTCATTTGAAAAAAATCTGATTTCAATTAACCCCAAGAAAATATACATCAACAGTAGGATGGGGCTGCTAAAAAGTTAATTCATGCAGTAGACAGATGCTGTTCTAATTGGAACATGACTGCCCACTGTTCTGGACTAGTCATCCCACATCTGAAGCACTGTTATTCATTCTTGAGGGCACCTTTTAATAGGTACTCTGAAAACTTTTCAGATGAGGACAACTAGGAAGGATGAGGTCACTAACCCATCTGATTTAAGAAAAGGCTGAAAGAAATGGGGATGTTCTACCTGGAGAAGAGAAAATTAAGGGAGACATGATGGCCGTCTTCAAATGTCTGAAGGATTGCTATGTTGAAGAGGGAGTAGAATAGTAGTCGTATGTTGTTCTAAAGGGCAGAACTAAAACTAAAGGAGAGAAAGTTATAGGGGAAAACATTTTAGTTTAAAAAAATAAAAGCAAAAGAAAAACCCTCTCCAATGAGGAAAGTCATTAGCAGATAAACAGCACTCTCCCAGGAAAGCTTGCAGGAAGGCATTCTAACAGGAGGTTAGGCCAGATGAATTCTAGAATCTCTTCTAACTCTAAGATTCCCAACACTGGAGCTCCTGAATATTGTTTGGTTTGAACTAGCCTTGCAAAATTTTCTCAAACATCACGAGAGAATCTGTCTGGGTTACTACTTTACAAGGTGCCAAAGCACACAGACAGAACTTTACCACCAAATGAGTGTGGCAATCCCTTCAAAGCAGTCACCTGAGATGGCTGCATTCTTATTCCAGAGCTGCTAGTGGCAAAAGCATCACTGAAACTCTTAGAATGCCTTCAAAATTCGTTTCTGGCTCACATAAGAAATAGACTCACCATTTCATAGAGTTATCTAGTATACTGCTGATGGACACAAACTATGATCATTTGATACAGTTGGAATCTAGCCCTCAGAGAGTGTCCAATGGTGAACCAAATAATTGATCCATTATAACCAAATTCTATTATTTAGCTTGATCATTCATCTTAATCAAGCCCAGCTCCCAATTACTTTTAAATGATTTCAAATACTCAACTTATCCTTAGACAAACACAAATGTGACATCAGATACAAATTAGTATTACATATATTCTTAAATGCTCAAAAAGATGTAAAACTGATTTGAACAAAGGTAACAGGATCAGAATGAGAATATAACCTTCCAAGTTCACTGCTTTGAGGGAATGTATACATTCTTTCTCTCTCTCTCTTTTTAAAAACCATATTACCTTATAGGTTTACTTCATGTTTTTGGCTCAAAACCTCAAAAACTAGTACTACAGATCTTTTCCCCCCCCCTTATTCCTTTGAATCCTTAAAGTTGGTTATTATCCTCATGGTTTCATGAAGAAACCACGTTCTTTTGAAAAAACACTCTAGGTTCTTAAAATTAAAAGTAAATTATGATTATAAATGGTTTCAAGAATAGAAAATTTTTTCAAACCCAAAGTATTGTTCATATTACTATGGTTTTAAAAAAATATATTATTTGAATGTAAGCTGAGTATAGTATAACTAAGTATCTTTTATTTGGGATCAGTGTGTCTTTTCCTTACTACAAAAGTTCTACTTCTACAACTCACAGCCAAAAGATTTTAATCTCCTTATACATATTACCTTCTAAAAGGAAAGATACTTTACTTTTCCTATGAAGAAATAATCCAAGATCTTATTTTATGGTCCTCTAAGTATATCTATTAATTTTAAAACATTACTCAGGATGCTTCCAAAACTAAACATTGTCATCACAGTGAGAAATTTAGTGGAAGTTAGTTGGGCATCAGTTGACTTGTCTTTGTAGTGAGTATCTGTATAATAAATAATTATCCGCTTTTTTCTTTTGTATTTTAACAGAATGCCTGGTACCCAGTAAATAAAGTTAAGAACCTGTTAAGAACTGCAGTGAAGATTTTGTTCTTTACAGATTGCAGCAAGTCTGAGTTGAGGAAGTTCTGACAGATGCAAAATGTACACCTGTTGCAGGTGCACATACAGCGTAACCGGGCATGGCTGTGAAAACACACAGAAGGACAGGAGTTGAGTTCTTACTTACAAATATGGCACAAGACAGGGTGTGCCAACTTAAAAAAAATTAGGCATAAGCAACACTCTTTGTAGAAAGGAAAAGGACAGTGTGGGGCATGCTAAAGTTGTGCAGAATTCCACATTTACCAAAAACATAATGAACAGTTTCCTCCTCCCTCCCTATAGAAAATCTAGGGAAAATTGGCTAACACTTTTGCTTCTTTTGGAGGGGGGATGGAATTATCACGAGTTTTAGTGGAATAAATATGCACAGCAATAGATGGCACCCTTTTCTAAATTAATAAAAAGAAAAACTGAATAAGCCATAGCACCCACCAAAGGACAAAGTTTGCTAGCATTTAAATAGCCATTCCCTCCTCCTCCTCCCTCAGCATACACACATGCCTGAAAACCAGGAAGGAGAAGAATGACAAATACACAAAAAAGTCAAAAGATAAGTATATTCAACTCTGAGAAGAAGATAAGAACAATATTGTCTTTAATTCATCAAGCACCCTGGTTCCCAAAGGAAATCAAAGTGCTTCATAAATTTCTATTTGAATAAACAAAATATAGGGTTAATTTCATTTGCTACCAAAGCACAGCAGCTAAGTATGATAGTATGAAACTCTGGGTAATGATGTAAATATCAACAATGGATCCAATTGAAATTAGATATGAAATTTAGGGAGGCTTTCTGACTCCTTTCTGGTTGAGTGAAGTTGCACTAGTTGGTGCAGGCACATGGGGCAACCCCTTTCACCTCAGCTCTAACTACAAAGTAGGGGGTCTCCAATGACTGCTCAGTGGTCAGAGCCACTCATCCATACAAAGCCATCACACCACCCATGAAGAGGTACTGGCGCAGAACCCACTCAGAAGAGTGCCACTTGATGAATCAATGCCATTACTTCCTGTAACACCTGAGCATTTTTACAGGCTTCTCAGTCAAAGGACTGGCCCAATCTGACTTGGCTTAGCTTGTGAGATCTGATGAGACCACAGCACACGGTGGCATGGTTATGGAGATTAGCAGCATCCCAATAATGCCTAATTCTCAACATGAAGAAAAACAAGAATTAATTTTTTAAAAACTTATAGGCTTCCGACATTTCTTTTTAAAACTTGACTTGTGATGATGAACATATCACTGGTATTAAGTCACTGCCAGCTGTCATACTGGAATCCATCTGTTATTTCATAAATTGAGTCTGACTCTTCCACAAACACAAGGCTCCACCCACCAAAAAGGAGCGATGCAAAGTATGCTTAGCAACAGGGAGACACTTCATGAGAAGTAGTTTGGAATTAACCATATAAACAAGTATCCATGTATGTACATTTATCATATGCACACACACACGCACACACACAAAGAATTACAGTAACATGGTTTAAAGATGCAGATCTAAAAACATAGTTGAAGTTATTTACAAGATTTAAAAAGTACATTTACACAGTAAAGAAGACACCATAATATACAGTTAGGCGGTAGGCCTGACCAAGCAGTGCGTTTCTAGATGATTACTAAAGGTTTAATTAGGGTAAGAGAAGATTTGGTCAACCTATAAGAAAATGTCAACAAAATCCCACAGAAGTCATAAAGAAAAAGTGACTTACAAAGCAGTTTTTAGAAAGACCCAGACTTTTCTCAAATTCTCTATTCTATCAGTGTTGCCCGTGTCTCGGGAGAGTCTGTCTCTGTAATGATCCTCTCTGTAGATAACATACATGAGAGTTTTAAAGCAAAGGTAAAACACAAATAAGGTTTTGCTTATCTTATAATAATAGGATTAACTTGTCTTCCAATACAAATAGAAATTCAAGGGTTTGTTGCATTTTTTAAAAGTATTAGTTAATAGAATAGCAGTGAAGTTAACTCTATAATCAACACTTTTCTGAAAAATATCAATCTTGATTTATAGCAATGTTTTATTATTACTATTTTATACTGTGTTTTTCATAAGAATAATAATTTAGAGATTAACATAAGAATAAGCAGAATAAGCTACACAGTCCTTAGAAACGCACTGCCTGAAAACTTATCTTGTTACAAAACAGAATTTATACAAACACTCTACTTGAGGAGAATGCCATTAAGACTCATGCAATTTAAAGGCAGTTAGTAAACTACAAAGATGACCACAGTTATGTGCTTGTGCATATGCATGTATAGATATATAATAAATGTACATAAAATTTGTGGCTCATAACACTAATGCAGAACATTTATACAATGGAAATTCCAATTACAACTAGTTTTCACAGCACTTAAAAAAGACATATCCTGAACTCAAACATACCCATAATTTCAACATAAATTCATGAGATTTTAGAAACTTTACATACCCAAGGTTAATTATCAACAGAAAAATATAGAAATGAATTTTTTGCTCATATGGAAATGCCTTATAATCATAAAGCATGATGCCAACCCTTTTATTGCAGTAAGCCTATTTTTTGAATGCTGGGTTGGGAGGGGGCTATGTTTTATTGTACTATCGTGTTAAGATAGTTACAGACTGCTCAAAAATATACAAACATTTCCAGAAGCATGGCTTACATCATTTTATTTATGACACCCAAACCAACCTTGCATTTATTCAAATTTGTACCTTCTCATTACAAAGTCTCTTTCTGTTGCTGAACAACTTTTATGAGATAAAAGATTTTCCCATCATGGCTAATAATGACATGCAATGTTATTATGAACCATGCAACATGAAAATGAAGACAGAGCAAGTACTTACGGATACATGGCCATTGTTGTCAATTTAACAAAGATGTCCTTACTGGGTGCATCAGCAGTATTGCATGTGAAGGCTTGAGGTGGAGGCATTTTGTGTTTCCTGCAGAAATCAGTAGGTGAGATGCTGTATTCTTGTTTAACTTCATGCAGGTCTGATTTTGCAGCTATGATCAAGCAGGGTGTTCTGCTATCCATAAAGTGTTGCTATGGAATAAAAAATAAAAATAAAAATTTGATGACAAGTTAAAAAATTACTTTAATTAAAGTGAACTAAACATTTTCCCTGGATAGGCAAAGCAACAGTAGTTTCAAAGCAAAAAAATAAACCAAAAAGCAAAGACTGACAGTGGTCTAGGTTAGTCTTGTATAATAAATGAGATCAGAACCACATTTTTAATGCCGGTAACAAAACAGGTCTATACTGATTCTTTAAATTTACTATGATTTTTAAAAATATAATTTTTAATTAAAAGATACATTAAACATTTTGAAATATAAAGAAATACACCTAATTTCTTCTATTTTAAAGAAGATTATTTTCATTTTTTCATATTGCCTCTAGTCCTTGAACACATGCATTTATATGTATGTATACAGCTGCATTCATACTAGACATAACCATTTAAAAATGTTAATACTGTATCTTCCATGTTCTTCAGAGTCTAAAACTATTATTTTCAGTGGTTGCTTAATATTCCCCTAGATTATTTTATTTTACTTGGGTAAATCATCCTCCTATTGTTAGCCATCTAGACTATTTCCTGTTTTTTGCTATTCAAAACAATGCTAGAGTAGTACCTTTATAGATACAGCTTTTTACTCCTATTGAATCTTACTGGTAACCTCATAGTGACTGACTTTCCAAGTTTCTGGTTTAACCCCCTTGCTCTGGCTGTTATTCTTAGTGTAACTGGCAATATATAATTTATATGCATTTCTGACAGCTATGAAGACCTTCTATTAATGCAAAAGTTCTTAACCACGAATGTACTTCAGAATCATGTATAGAAAAATTTTTTTAGAGCTATATATGTCTAGCACTCTACCACTTCAGAATGAAACCAGAACCTTTAGTGATAGGGTAATGATATACGTATTTTTAAAAAGCTCCACAAATGATTGTGTTGCATTTTTCTGGTTAGGAAACATCACACAATTCCATTAAAACTCCATATGAAGTTATATTTAGTCATAGTCTGAATGAGCAACAAACCTTAAAAATCCTGGCACAGTATTCAAAGGATTTGGGATTACTGACATCATATACCAGGCACACAACATCACAAATGATCTCAGCCTCAGTTAGAAATTCCGATTCTGAGATGTCATGCAACTTGTAAAAAGAAAAATAATGAAAAATGTAAGTATCATATTAAGTCATTATGTTTTACTACTTGCCCACCTGGATTTCCTAATTTAAAAAGTACTAGTTAAACACAACTTTTCAGATCATTTTTACAAGTTGAAAGTATAGATAAACAAGTATCTTCTGATACTGTAGATTAAAAATGGAGATTAAGATTCTACAGAAGCTAGTGAGTGACTAATGTGTAGTAGTGGGTCCTTTACAAACACTGTCTATATTCCACAGATAAAGAGACAGTATAGAAAAATTAAGTCAGCTGCCCAAGGTAACACATCTAAGAAACCATCTGACCAAAATTTGAACTCAAGATATAATTCCCAAGTCTATTTTCTTTCTATCATTCCCCCTTTTCTCCCCACTAATCAAAAATATAAAGCAAATGACTCTTTACAGCAAGGTTATTTTGTTCTACTTCACTGTCCCCTCTTTTCAGGGTTTATCATAAAACTTCTTAAATATTCCATCTATAATATGATAATGATCCAATAAGAGTAAAATTCAGTGCTGAGTTATGTAAAAAAGTGCATCTTTGTTGAGAAGATGAAAGGGGATGCAGAGTCAGAAGTAACTCAATATATTCCAAATAAAACACTATTATAGCATGCATAGCCAGAGACATGAAAGATAAGAATCTGCAAATAATAGTGTAAGAATAAGAAAGCAGGAAAAGCTGGGCTCGGTGGTTCAGCCTGTAATCCCCGGTGCCCTTGGGAGGCTGAGGTGAGTGGATTGCCTGAGCCCGCGGGTTCAAGACCCGCCTGGACAGCGAGACCTCATCTCTACAATAAATCAAAAAATCAGCCAGGCGTGGTAGCGCATGCCTGTAATTCCAGCTACTTGGAAAGCTGAGGCGGAAGGATCGCCGGAGCCCAGCAGGTCGAGGCTGCAGTGGCCAGGAGCGGCCACTGCACTCCAGTCTGGGCGACAGAGTGAGACTCCAACTCAAAAAAAAAAAAAGAAAGCAAGAAAATGCATAGTCAATATTTACTGATATGTAGAACCATACTTATGGGAGGGGACAAACAAGGTTTAATAAACTGACAGCTTGGAGTGGTGGCTCACATCTGTAATCCAAGTACTTTGGGAGGCAGAGGTGAGAGGATTCCCTAAGCCCAGGGGTTCGAGATCAGCCTGGGCAACTTGGCAAGACCTCGTCTCTACAATAAATCAAAAAATTAGCCAGGCGTGGTGGGGTGCGCCTGTGGTTACAGCTTCTTGGAAGACTGAGGTAGAAGGATTGCCAGAACTCTGCAGGTCGAGGCTGTGGTGGCCATGAGTGTGCCACTGCACCCTAGCCTGGATGGCAGAGTGAGACTCTAACCCACTCCCCCCAAAAGAAACTGACAAACTTTAATCATAAAGAGTAAAGTATGCATAAAATTCAATGTGGTTATCTAGCAAAATAAACTATTTCCTAAAAGGATCAAGTACTAACTTTTTCTAGTTCCTATGACTTGTTAGGAGCTTCTCATATTAGCTAACGATAAGAAACTAAGGCTAGAGGGAGTAAGCCACTTGCCTGAAGTCACACAACTAGCCAGTGGTGGACTAGGGTTGAAACTGAAATCTGACTGGATCCAAGGAGAGCATATAATCTCTTTCTAATGTATTATATAGTATCTTTTCAGTCAGACCCTTCTTTCACACATTTTTTAAGCTAACACATTTGTTAAATATACTCCTTGCTAAATAAACTGGACTCAGATTATAAACTACTAAGCACTAGCACTGTTGCACTGTTTTCATACTAATTTCTAGTCAATAGTAGACAAAATAATTGTTCTAAAATGCAAGTGGAAAAGAGAGTAAAAGGGGAGTCCATTTTTAAAAAACTTTGCTATTGTGGTACAGCAAACATACAGTTAAGTGAACTAATAGAGAATTTTTATGTATATCTATATGAATGTAATCACCACACAGATCAAAAGACTTAAAATTCCAATGAATAAACCAAGTGGGAAAAAAAAATCAAGTTGGGTGCAGTGACATAAGCCTGTAGTCCCAGCTACTAGGGAGGCTGGGGCAGGAATACCCCTTGAGCCCAGGAGTTCGAGGCCAGGCTGGACAACATAGACCCAATCTCTAAAAATAAAATAAAATAAAATAAAAATCACATGCAAGTTCTATATACAGTCATTCAATTAAAGCCAATTTGTTTTCAAAGAGTTACTTTAAACTGTACCCAACAATTAATAACTTTTTAATACCACAGATTTTCTTACCAACAAGTATTTCTCTTGTCCATAAACATAAACAGTATTAATCGCATAGTATGATTTATGATCATCATGAATTTTCTTCTGCCTCTGAAAACAGAACCAAAAATCTCAATATTTACAGCAACTAGTTTTCATCAACCCAAACACACATCTCTGTATGCATGTGTGGGTGTGTTATAAATAAAAGGGCATTCTTCCCTACACTATGTACTATTTGTCAGTACAAAGAGGATATTGATTTTATGTTTCTTAGTTCTTAGGATCTAAAACAAAAGATGCATTTGTACTGCATAAAGTGCAAGCAGTAGCTAAAAAGGAAGGAAACTATACATATTACTGAAAGTATATTCTAGAGTCACCTGCTGGCAATGCCCACTATACTATAATTTGGTCTGATGTAAGACTCATCTAGAAAGATGTTAGTCTTCTTAAGGGAGTAACCAGAACTAAATATCAGTATTCAGTTCAAAATATTTACGGTGAGCCGGGCTCGGTGGCTCAGCCTGTAATCCCGCGCCTTTGAGAGGTTGAGGTGAGTGGATTGCCTGAGCCCGCGGGTTTGAGACCCGCCTGGGCAAGCAAGACCTCATCTCTACAATAAATCAAAAAATCAGCCGGGCGTGGTAGCGCATGCCTGTAATTCCGGCTACTCGGAAGGCTGAGGTGGAAGGATCACTGGATCCCAGCAGGTCGAGGCTGCGGTGGCCAGGAGTGGCCACTGCACTCCAGACTGGGCAACAAGTGAGACTCCAACTCAAAAAAAAAAAAAAATTTACGGTGCATTTACTTCAGGCCAAGGACTGTGTGAGGTGCTTTCATATGTGTAGTCATTTAATCCCCATCTAAACACCAGTTTAAAAAAAGACATAGCTAACACAAATGAAACAAAGATAAAGACAGTTCAACAGGATTATTGTTAAATTTAGCTTACACTTTATTAATATATATAGGCCACTGAGTCTAGTAATTATATAAAAACCATTAAAGTTATTATGTAAAACTTTTATAAACTTGTGGCTATAAAAATTTGTTGGATAAAGTTCTATTTTCTGAGAACTCTCACCATTAAGTTTCTTCCAAGAAGAGCCTGAAGAACTCCACTTTTCCCACAGTTTTTCATTCCAATTACATTACATCTGAACACATTTCTTTGAGTTTGTTTTTTCTGCAGGTCTATCTTTTTATCTCTTGTTACTAAAAAGAAAAAAAAAACACTAAATATATAACACTTAGATTCACGAAGCCTCCATTACACCTTTTGCAAAACAGGGTATTGCTGGCTTATCTTTTTTATGAAGTATCTATAAACAAACATTCTATATGATAGTCAAGCTGTATGTGAATAAAGTACTAAATATAATGCAGAATGGCCTCACTTAGTGAAAAAGATGCCTTTCTGAAAGTTTACTATAGAGATAATTTCTAGTGACCAAATATTTATTTCATCATAAGTGGTATATTTTCATAAGGAATATAATATCCTAAAAAAAAGAATGAAAATTACAATAAATACAGCTAACATTATATACCTCCTATTTTTTTCTGTGATAAATTGTCATAAATTACAAACTAAAAGATGGCTATTTCAAATCTGCATTTTCTTGGAGCTGGATCTATAAATAGAGAAGGAATATACATTCTGGGATTAACTGGCCTTTCAAACATAAATTATAAAAAGGGCAGGTCAGAAAACCATGCCATATCATCAAGACAGTGAGTATCTCTTCCTGAGATAAAGAGACCTCCTTAAGCTATACCTAAAGACTGCACTATAACAGATCTCACCAAAGCCACTACTGATAGCAAAAAACTGAAAATGATAAAAATACACAATTGTCGGGTAAATAAGTTCTAGAACATCCATATAATGATACACCATTTAACATTAAGAGATATAAAACATACTTATTGCTATAGAAAGATGTCCACAATATGTTGAGTAAAAGAACCTCATGGCTGGCTAGTGATTGGTGTTTTACTCTCTGGTGCTGAATTAAGTACTGCCTACTCAGTTAATACTTTAAAGGGTACTTGTTCTGTCAATTTAAGAAAGGCTGTCTTTTTGTGCTAGGGTTCCCTGTAAGATATGACAGATTTCTCACCTACTGGGATGTAAGAAACTCGTGCAATGATCAGTTTCTTAATTTGCTGTTTCCATACCTACGGGTTTTCTTTAAGTGGAGCACAAGGCTTGGTAAGAATGCCTGCTTTACATTACAAGATCTGTGAAAAATGTACTAATACAGAAAACAGTTACAAAGCTGACAGATGTACAATTCGTTCAAGATCAAGATTGTATATTAATAGGCATTGTTTTCAATGTTTAAAGGAAATTAAGGCTGGGTACAGTGGCTTATACCTGTAATCCTAGCACTTTGGGAAGCCTAGGTAAGAGGACTGCTTGAGCCCAGGAGTTTGAGACCAGCCTAGGCAACAACATAGCGAGACCTCATCTCTACAAAAAAAAAAAAAAAAAAAATCAAAAAATTAGTCAGGCATGGTGGCTTGCACCTGTAGTCCCAGTTACTCAGGAGGCTGAGGTAAAAAGGAATGGCCAGGAGCTCAGGCGTTCAAGGTTGTAGTGGGCCATGGTGATCATGCACTGCACTCCTGTCTGGGCAACCGAGTGAGACCTCAATTAAAAAAAAAAAAAAAATTAAAATAGATGATAGACTGGCAAATTCTTTAATGCTCATAGGTCTCCTTCATTTTCATCAGTAGAGTACCCCAAAGGAGTAGACAAGAAGAAAAATCTCTACTCATTCTTTTTTTTTTTTTTGCATTGGAGTCTCACTCTGTCGCCCACACTGGAGTGCAGTGGCCGCTGCAGGCCACTGCAGCCTCGACCTGCTGGGCTCTGGCGATCCTTCCACCTCAGCCTTCGAAATAGCTGGAACTACAGGTGTGCGCTACCACACCCAGCTAATTTTTTTTTTTTTTATTATAGAGATGAGGTCTCACCAAGTTGCTCAGGCGGGTCTCGAACCCGCGAGCTCAGGCAATCCACTCACCTCAGCCTCCCAAGGCGTGGGATTACAGGCTGAGCCACCAAGCCCAGCATCATTCTTTTTGATAAACAATAAAATCAAGCATCTCAACTCAAAAGACTTTATCAAATCACAAAGAAAACTAATAGAGTACAGATAGAAGACTCAGGAAGATGAATTTATTTTTACTCTTTATTACATTTAAAAATGGAATTTTCAAAAATCTCTCTTATCATGAGCAGAATAATAACAGAAACTTACCTGTAATGGCTGAAGCTTGAGACTCTTGTTCTGTCAATATTGAATAACCTAGATAGCCCAAATACTCCAGGCATCGCTGTACATCTAAATAAGTGGTGAGTCTACAAAAAAGAAGAGTTTAAAATGTGAAAAGCTCCTAAATAAACATTTATGGGGGGGGGATGCCAACTACTCAAAAAAATTTATGCACCAGACCCAGACAACTTTTGTCAAGTTGCTTTGATTTCCAATGTGCCCAACCATAGTTTTTCCTACACTGTCATTCTTAAGGTAGAGAAGAAAAGGGAGGAGAATGCAGGATGAGAGGGAATTCCTCTGTCTATTCCACCTGCCCAGAGAGAGCAAGGTCACATAGATGAGCAGTGAGTGGCTGATAAAATCTAGAGGAGGAATATTTTATATGATCTGCTTCCCAAGTCAATATACAATTAATATATCTATAGGCCAGGCACACTGGCTCAAGCCTATAATCCCAGCACTTTGGGAGGCCGAGGCAAGAAGACTGCCTGAGTCCAGGGGTTTGAGACCAGCCTGGGCAACTTGGCAAGACAATGCATCAAAAAATTAGCCGGGTTTGGTATCATGTGCCTGTAATTCCAGTTACTTGGGAGGCTGAGGTGGAAGGATCCCAAGACCAGCAGGTCGAGGTTGCAGTGGCTGTGAGCATGCCACTGCATCCAGCCTGGGTGGCAGAGCGAGACTGACTCAAAATACACACACACACACACACACACACACACACACACACACACACACACATATGTATACACACACACACATATATGTATACACACACATACACACACATACACACACAAATATTGGCTAGTTGAGGACTTTATAATAAAAGACATATGAAAAGGTTTGACAAAGGCACAAAATAACTGAAAGGCACCTGAAATTAGTAAAGTATTTGAAAAAAGAAAAAATCCTAATGTTGAGAAAGTTAGTCTCACCAAGGCTAAAACATCATGCAAGACCAGAGGATTCCCTTAATACCCTAGGCATAATGTCAACCACATTGTAACTAGGTTGCAGTTAAATCCTAAGTCTTACTAAAAGTTCATTAAAACAAACAATAAAAACAAAAAACACAAAATAAGTCTTCAGTGTCAAATAAAATATAAATATATATTTTTTGAGTTGGAGTCTCACTCTGTAACCCAGACTGGAGTGCAGTGGCACCCTCCCGGCCACGGCAGCCTCAACTTGCTGGGCTACGGCGATCCTTCTGCCTCAGACTTTCAAGCAGCTAGAACTACAGGCACGCACTACCATGCCCGGCTAATTTTTTTTTTTTTAATTTACTGTAGAGATGAGGTCTCGCCAAGTTACCCAGGCCGGTCTTGAACCCGTGGGCTCAGGCAATTCACTCACCTCGGTCTCCCAAAGCGTGGGATTACAGGTTGAGCCACCGAGCCTGGCCCAAATAAAATATTTTAAAGGAGTAAGAAATGTACAATAGCAATGACATTTCTAATTCCCTTAATCAAACAAAAAGTACTAACATTTAGTTCTGTTTCAATATGACTTATTAATATTTCCCTGTACATCATCCAAAAGAAAACAATCCCTTTCTGATAAATTGATATAACATCTATAGTTCATCTTAGAGATATCAGTAGCACTATAAAATCCTGCTTAGAGGCAACTGTGACTGCAGCATTTCATAAGATCTGACAAGCTTACAAAGTAACGAATATAATACACCATAATTTTAAACTAATTATAACCCTAGAAGAAAGAGGTAAGTTCTATACTCACGTCCACTGGGAAAGGAATCCCTGGTAGGTTATCCAGCCTCTTTCATTGGTACAAACTGTGTTATTCACATCTGGCCCCCAAGGTATGTAAGGGAAAACTTTAAATAAATCTTTAAGCTCATCAGGTGACAAAGCACAGTCTCTATCCTGAAGATAAACAAGAATGTACACTTTTAGCTAAGAGAATAATTCCCAAACATAAAAGTCCCCTAGTCTAGTGAAGCTATGGTTCTAAAAACTAATTAACAAATGACCCCAAATTTTACATTTTATCAAGAAAGTTCCTCACATGTATATAAGAACGTATAAAAGAGTCTATCAGAAACTAGACCTTTTCATCTTAAGAAAACAATAAAAGTAAATAGCAGAAAACATTTTTGCTAGTTTAACTTAGAGAGTTTGAATAATTTTTGGCTATTTGGCATAAACATATATAGCTAAGGGAAAAGAGTTATATCATTCACAAAAAAGTATTTTGCCATAGCCTGGGTAACATAGCAAAACCACATCTCTACAAAAAAATTTTTTTTTAAATTAGTGGGGCACAGTGGCACCCACCTGTAGTCCCAGATACCAGAGAAGCTGAGGCGGGAAGGTCACCTGAGCCCAGGAGCTGGAGGCTACATTGAACTAGGATCATTAGTGTCACTGCACTCCAGACTAGGTGACAAAGCAAGACCCTATCTTTAAAAAATATATATGTGAGGCCGGGTGCAGTGGCTCAAGCCTGTAATCCCAGCACTTTGGGGGTCTGAGGCAAGAGGATTGCCTGAGCCCACAGGTTTGAGCTTGGGCAACTTGGTGAAACCTCATCTCTACAATTAAAAAAAAGAAAAAATTAGCTGGGCGTGGTGGCACACACCTGTAATTCCAGCTATTTGGAAGGTTAAGGTAGAAGGATTGCCTGAGCCCAGCAGGTGGAGGCTGCAGTGGCTGTGAGCGTGCCACTGCATTCCAGCCTGGGCAATAGATTGAGAGTCCAACTCAAATACACACGTGTGTGTGTGTGTGTGTGTGTGTGTGTGTGTGTGTGTGTGTGTGTGTGTGTGTAGCCATACATCATGGAAAATTAAATTACAGTTAAAAGCTTACCAAATCATGTTTGTCAAAGGTGCTTTGGAGAAACAAATATGCATGATGATTTAATTCAGTAGTGCAATCAGGAGGTATTTTTAGCCTGTTAATGAAAAAATTTAAGAGTAAAATAAATCATTAATTATATTTTAAAATTTGCGAAACGAATATAAAATTGCAACAAGTCATTTTGTGGGACGACACTGTTTAGACTTTCCAGAAGAAAATCTCTGGAGTGGTTATGACACTCCTCAGAAGAGTCATAATAATGCTCATTCCAAAGTGACAAAGTTTTTTCTTAAATGTCAGAAGAGAAGGTAAAAGTAAAAATGTTATAAATAATACTGATTAAACTGTCATGGGTTTGTTCTTCCTATAAGCAAATTGTAAGTCATAACCATGAGCTTTAAATTAATTTCAACACTGCAATGAATTGAAAATGATGAGATGTTATTTCTACCTGACTTGACTTTTCTGACCCACCCTAAATTCAGTTCAATAAACATTAATCAAATGCACTGAGCTAGGAACCAAGGAGGAAGAAATAAGACAAGCTCCCTATTTCTAAGAAACCACATTCAAGTGGGAGACGGATGAGCTAAGAATCCTAGGGAAGCCCACATGAAAGAGAATATCTCTGTGCCCTGGAGATTAGGAAGACATCAACACTGCTAAGAGACATTATCACCTGAATTGAAACTTGAAGGATAAGTGGCATTAATTAGGTTTGGGGGAGAGGGAAAGAGTGAGAATAGCACAGGCAAAAGCCTGGAGCAAAGAATAACATATGCTTGGTAGACTTCAAATAGTTTGGCATTTACTTCCAGAATGAAAGCAACAGTGAGCATGAGCAGAGATCATGAATGACCTTGGATACCATGTTAAGAAGCTTGGGCTTTATCCTGTGTCTTGAAGGGAAATGACATAGCCAGATTTGTATTTATATATCCACTAATCTAGCAGCAGTGTGAAGGATAGAGGTAGAAAGTTTAAGAAGGCTAGGGTCAGGCATGCTGGCTCACGCCTATAATCCTAGCACTTAGGGAGCTGAGGTGGGAAGAATGCTTGAGCCAGGAGTTCAAGACCAGCCTGGATAACATAGCAAGACCTTGTCTCTACAAAAAATAAAAGAATTAGCTGGGCGTGGTGGCACACACCTGTAGTCCCAACTACTCAGGAGGCTGAGGCAGAAGGATCATCTGAGCCCAGGAAGTCAAGCCTGCAGTGAGCCATGATCGTTCCACTGCACTCCAGCCTGGGTGACAAAGTGAGATACTGACTCAAAAAAAAAGAAGGCTAGAGAGATTCATGTGGTAGCTCTGGGGTGCTATTCTGCAGAAAATTAGAGGCAAAGAGCATAAAGAAACTAAAGAGATGATTCAAGTAAACTACAATGCCCTAAGAGATAAATTTCGGCCAGGCTCGGTGGCTCAGCCTGTAATCCCAGCACTTCGGGAGGCTGAGGCAAATGGATTACTTGAGCTTGAGGGTTCAAGACCAGCCCAGGCAACTGGGTGAGACTTCTTCTCTACAATAAATCAAAAATTAGCCGGGTGTGGTTGTACACGTCTATAGTTCCAGCTGCTTGGAAGGCTGAGGTGGAAGGATGGCCGGAGCCCAGCAGGGCTGCACTCTAGCCTGGGTGATGGAGTGAGACTCCAACTCAAAAAAAAAAGAGATGGAGTTTCCTAAGTGCCACACTTAAGAAAGCAATAATCAACTGTCTGTTACATAAACAGCACAGAAAAGAAAACCCAATGAAAGGATCCTGTGACAAATTCATTCAGTATATATTCATTGAAAAATCTGGAAAATTAACTTGAGTCAAGATTTAATAATTTAGTCAAGGGGAGTTTCAACTTAGAACTTATTAATGGACTAGGAAACTAATCAGAAAGAACTTAGCTTTCTCAATGGAAGAGAAGGAAAAAAAAACCCAACAAAGTCTTTCTAAACCATTATATAGATAGCTGGAAGTGCTATGCTAAAATCAAAAGGACACCAGCAAGGTAATATGCCAATGAAAAAGTAAAGAAGAAAGGCTGAAGACTCCAAGGCCAGATCCTGGGAAGTCCCCATCCCTGAAAAGCTAGCTCACTTCCCTCAGCACAGAACAGGCATCCTGTGGCAAGGCAGTCACCTGTCTGAGAGTGGCACTGGCTCCATTTTTAAACAAACAGAATGTAAACATAGCATTTTCAAAGGAATATACCACAAATAGACTGGTTGTTTAGGGAAATACTTATTTCATCTTGAGCTAAGAACAGGCTATAAAACTGAGAGGAGAACTGATGAAAGAAAAGTGACAACCAACATATTTCTGATCTGCTGACTCCAGAAATAAGTTTGTCTAGCATATTTTTTCTCCTTATTTAGTAAAATGAACAAAAAAGATAACTTTCATTCTCCATGAAAAGAGGAAAAGTTTGAGCCATGCTATAAATCAGTGGCTCTTTAATTAGGGATAATTTTGCTTTTGAGGAAACATTCAGCAATTTCTAGAGATCGTTTTGGTTGTCACAACTGGGGAGGAGGTGTCACTAGCATCTAAGGATGTGTGAAACATCCCATAACGCACAGGAAAAGCTCCACAAATAAGAATTAACCAGTCCAAAATGTCAATAGTGCCAAAGTTAAGAAACCCTGGATAAACCTCTGCTATAATTCTAAATTATTCCTGAGTAGCTTGAAGCCTGTCTCTGTGCTATATAAACGTTAAAAATACTTAGCAAGTAAAATCACCAAAGGAACATACAGGGGGAATAAATATTCAGGTGTCAAATCCAGATCATCGTCATAACCAAATCGTCGAAGCACTGTCCAAGTAGTTTCGTGTCTCCCTCTCTGGATAAAAAGCGTGTGTAAAAAGAGAAAACCTGAAATGAAGTAAATTAGTAAATACAGTTGACATGAAGGATACAGAGTCACATGGGAGAAAGGCATATAATATCTCTAAATTTATGAATATATGTATACTAGTTTTGCATAGTAAAGGTCAAAACAAAGTTCACAAGTATGTCAATGAAACAGCTGATTTCAGAATCATTTCATTTTCTTTTTTATTGAGTCAGAGTCTCACTCTGTCACCCAGGCTGCAGTGCAGTGGCACGATCACAGCTCACTGCAACATCGACTTCCTGGGCAATCCTTCCACCTCAGCCTCCCTAGTAGCTGGGACTACAGGTACGTGCCACCACACCAGTATAATTATTTTCATCTTTTTTGGTAGAGATAATGTCTCACTATGTTGCCCAGGCTGGTATCAAACTCCTGGGCTCAAGCAATCCTCTTGCCTCAGCCTTCCAAAGTGCTAGGATTACAAGCGTGAGCTACCGCATCCAGCCCAGAATCATACATATATAAAGCTCAGCAAGAAACAGCACTGGAGAAGAGGGTTAACATTACATCTCAAGGATTACATTGACATTCACAAAGTTATATGATAGACATGTTTTATAAGGCCAGGCATGGTGGCTCACACCTGTAACCCAGCACTTTGGGATGCAGAGGCAGGATTGCTTGAGCCCAAGAGTTCGAGACCAGCCTGGGTAACATAATGAAATATTGTTTCTACAAAAAATAAAAAATTAGTCGGGTGCAGTGGGACAACTAACAGATTGAGATGCTGAAGTGTAAGGATCACCTGAGCCCAGGAGGTCAAGACTGCTGTGAACTGTGATTGTCACGATCATGCCATTGCACTCCCACCTGGGTTAGAGACCCTGACTCATTTTTTTTAAAAGGTGGGGGGGGGGGCATTTTATAGCTCTTTGAACTTACTCCTGTAATGAAAATTTTGATTTTCTATTTCACTTACTTCACTGTTCCTCTATAATATATTCTCCAGGGAACATGCTTCACTATACTGGTAAATTTAACTTATAGACAAAATTCTTTAAAAATAATTACTATTTAAAGGCTACTTATGAATAGGAAGAATTTTAAGATACATTTGTTTGTTCCAGATATCTCTTTCTCTTTAATGAACCTCTCTGTCTTCGAGATCTAATTTCTCTACTCCTAATTTATACTGACAGTAAGAATGATAATCCCCAACAATGGCCTGACTCTTCCAACTCTTAAATATCCAAGTCAGATTTTAGATATATTAACAAAATACTAACATTTCCCTAAAGTATAAATAATGCAATAAAGACCTTCACCTTCTGCCAAATCTTGAAAATATTAAGTTCAAAAGAGGGAAAAACACCATTCACCCACCTTTCAATGTCAATCCACTATCAGCCACACCATCACTTATGTGTTTTCTAACTACATTCTTGACATCTTCCAGAGCTTGAGGAGCTAATGGAGTGTTGAAACAAATTCTCTAGCAAAAAACATAATAAGTTTAAAAACAAACCAGCATTAAGCATTAAAACCACAAACAATACAAATCAACATTAAATCCAAGAGTTGCAGCCAAAAATAAAAAATAAAAAAAACAAAATTCTCTTATTACGATAGTCTCTGCTCTGTGTTATTTAAGTAAAATATGCCATACTTAGGAAGAAAGAAACTTTCACAACTCCCCCCATCCTGTTTCTAAAACACAGGGCTCTTTGTGTAGCTATGTCATATGAAACCAAGAAAGGAAAATAAAGAGTGTGTCAGAGTTCAGACTTCAAGTTATCCTCAATATACCCACTTTAGATCATGAAATTAAACTTTCAAAAAATCTCTTCAATTCCTGGGCAGAAGAGTTTTACACCCTAAGGAAAAGCTTTTAAATAGCTTGATGTGAAAGATAGTTTTACATGAAAGAAACTCATGTTTATCAACATATTGTTTTTGTTATTTAAGCTAATAAATTTTTGTAGCATTTATCAGCAAAAAGAAAGACAAAGACATCCAAATATATGACATAAAAGACAGCTACCTGGAAGAAGTTGAGTTCGGCATCATTGAGAGTACCATCATTATCTTGATCAGATATTTTAAATATACGAGTAAGGGCTTTTATACAAGCTGGTTTCATCTGTAAATCATTGAGAAAAGAAACAACTGTCTTCATTAAAATAGGATTTTGAACTGTGGTTTTCATAAACAACGCTAGGAATAATCCTGATTATTTTCACATAAAATCAAATACAACCAACATAAAAAATGAACTAAAGCAGAACCAACTACTTTTATACCCAAATCTTTTTAAGTAAATGAGGCAATATTTACTTGGACTGATATTTGGAATGATCACACTCTTCCCTCATAACCATGAATTCTCTAAGCATAGGCAAAAGAGAAGTTCATCTTTAGGAGAGAATCATTCTTCCAGTCACACAGAGAACTTATCTATCTATCTATCAGTCACACAGAGAAGATCTATCTATCTATCTATCTATCTATCTATCTATCTATCTATCTATCTATTTATCTATCTATTTCCTTCCTCATTCCACAAATAATTTGAGTTGACTTATAAAACTACTCAGGTTTTCCTCCCCAACTTCTGATTTCTGACTATTCTTTGTTGTGATAGCCAAATGGGACTTGTTCTGGTCTGTCCCTTGTGTGTATGTATGTATATATTGAAGTTGGGATATAAAACGTTCTTATTCACAAACAAGTGGCAATGTATCACTGGTTAATAGGTGTAAAAAGCTTTCACTAACTTCCCAGTATGGGATAATAATTATTTACATATAAAAAGAGAACTTTGCCTTTTGTGACTCTAAACATTTAGAAGTAATGCTGCTGGAAATATATTTTGACAATTTCTTTAATTGTTGTTTTAGCATTTACAATGGATATGTGACTTGGTTTATATAAAATATGTGACTTTTTAAAAAAATTTTAATTTTAGAGACAAGGTCTAGCCGTGTTGCCCAGCCTGGTCTCAAACTCCTGGGCTCAGATAATCCTCTCGCCTTGGAATCTCAAAGTGTTGGGATTACAGGCATGAGCCATTGTGCCTGGACTTAATATGTGACTATTTAAAAATAAGGACCGCATATTTTTACTGTGTATAACCACTATAGGGTAATCACTGTCAATAATTCTGAGAATAAAGTAAAACATCAAAGGTCTTTGAACTTTGTGTAATCTTAGAGATAGATCTCTTAGGAATCCACCTGAATCAGATAAACAAGATGACAAGGTGAGGAAATACATACTTATTCACTTAGACTTTAGTCATACAGTTATCCAGAGCAAAATGGTAATGAGGACAGCTTTGATCATGCTATCAAACTCGAATTCAGAAAAAGAAGTTCTTTAAAAAATAGGAAAGGAAATCATTATCTTCCAAACATACAGAGATAATCCCTACTTTTTATGTTAAATGGGGTCTCTGGGAGAGTAATTATATATAGCTGGGCAAGATAAAATATAAGGTATAATGAGATTAGAAAAAAATGAGAAAAACTAAGTCAAACATTTAGAGAGCATTGGATAGGGCTCCATTTTTTTTTAAAAAAGTACTAAATGGTCTATAACTATAACGTTCAGTCACGGGTGATTTATTTTTAAAAAGAATGAATAGTAAGATACTGCTTCTATAAATGTGATTAACTATTTAAGATTAATAAAGATTATAATGTTATATTTTATTTACTCTCCTTTTAAAAAAACCTGTTATATAATAATCTAAATGTTTTCAAAAGTAGCAATAGCTAGAATGAAGTTCAAAACAGAACCTAAAAATAACCTTTTATTTTGTGCAAATGATTTCCCTGCACAAAATAAAAGGCGACATTTTAAAAAGTAATTTGAAGCAAAATAAAGTGATGCATTTTTTATTAAATTTGAAAAGCACCAGAAGCGAAAGAACTCTCAGGTATTGGCTCAGTGTAATATTTAAATAGCAACCACCTTAAAATACAACACTGAAAAATGACCGCTGCTATTAAAAAACATTAAAAATTATACTCAATAAAGGTGTAAAACTTTTGTAGTAATAAATTTAAAACAGCTTGTATCTAATCTAAACCCTCACACAGTAAACACGGTTATGACATAATAATCACATTTTTTTCATTTTTAAGTAAGCTGAGGACACTATGGGTCATACAGAGTTCACCATTGGAAGCTCAGTCTTTAAGTTTAAACATGATCTTTTTATGATTCTACTTCACTTATGTTAACAACTATTATTGTTGCCTAATTAAAAGATTCTGGTATAAGCTCAAAGTCTGTACTTGTGTAAAATAAGATATAATCTAAAAGTTGAAAATTTTACCTATCATACAGGTCCACCTAAGAAATAAATAACAGATGGTGGTAGATGTTTTACTCTTGTGGGATTGGGGGAGGGAAAAGGGGATTAGCAGATTAGCAAAACTAATAATAGACCTGAGAACAAAGTAGCAATTAAAAAATTGAGAACAGACTAATAGCAGGGATTTAATGCACTGCTAGGCTAAGGTCTCAGAGGTAGATTCCTATAGTATAAGAATATTTCTCAAATTTTCTTTATCATAAAATACAGCACTGGACTGAATCAGAATGAAATCTATGTTTTTACAAGTATACCAGGTGACTATTATGATGAGACAAGTTTGGGAAATACTAGATTAAGAATTAATTAGAAAGAAGGATCCCAATTAAAGAATAGCAAACCAGGGTCAGATTAAGGGTCAACTCGGGTTAATTATTTATACCAGGACATGGCATTTTTTCTATAAAGGGCCACATAGCAAGTATTTTAGGATTTGGGGTCAACAGTCAAAATCAAGAATATTGTGTAGGTACAATATTGTTATGTAGGTACAATACTGTTATGCAGGAAGAAAAAAATTAAATTTCCACAAAGTTTATTTATTTATTTTTGAATCAGAGTCTTTTACTCTGTCACCCAAGCTAGATTGCAGTGGCCCGCTTACAGCCACCACAGCCTTGACCTGCTGGGCTCAGGCAATCCTTCTACCTCAGCCTTCCAGGTAGCTGGAACAACAGGCATACTACTCCGCCAGGCCCAGCTAATTTTTTTTTTTTAATTGTAGAGATGAGGTCTCGCCATGTTGCTCAGGTTGGTCTTGAACCCCTGAGTTCAGGCAATCCTCTTGTCTCCGCCTCCCAAAGTGCTGGGACTACAGGAGTGAGCCACCACACCTGGCAAATTTCCACAAAGTTTTTATTGATGAAATTCAAAATGTAAGTGACTATAATTTTGTAATACAGATCTACTAATAAGAATAAGATTTTTTTGGAGGAATAACATTTTGTTTAATTGGGGCTCAAAATTGGTGTTCTCTACCATGAAAGTGAATTGCAAATGTTTATATGTTAACACTGATCTATAATGAAATTTTGTATGTTTCATCTTTGAAAATGACTTTTTTGCACAAATATATACTGCCAATATTGATACATACCTACAATTCTATGATTTATTTATTTTATTTACTTAATTTTTTTTTTAGTCAGGGTCTCACTGTTACCCAGGATGGAATGCAGTAGCACAATCACAGCTCACCACAGCCTCTAACTCCTGGGCTCAAGCAATCATTCTGCCTTAGCCTCCCAAGTAGCTATAACTACAGGTATATGCCACCACACCCAGCTGATTTTTTTATTTTTTGTAGGGACAGGGTCTCACTATGTTGCCCAGGCTGGTCTTGAACTCCTGGCCTCAAGCAATCTTCCTACCTAGGCCTCCCAAAGTACTGAGATTACAGGCATAAGTCACTATAACTGGCCATAAACTGATGATTTTAACAGGGCACATTCATCACTTGGAGGTATCTGTAAAATTATATTAGATTCTTCTCTGGATATTTACCTTTTAGCATGTCATTACACTGCAGATTAATCAACTGAAGGTTAGGTAGAAAATCAACTGCATAGTTAAATAGATTATAAAACATGGAAATTCCCTTTCCACTTACATCAGGGCCAAAAAAGTAATGCTGGAGCTGTATTTTGAGCTTGAAAAACATATCTGTTTTCCCATCTAAAATTCCACTTTTAATTTATTGTTTTGGCGTGATGGGTACTCATTGATAATAAATGTCATGGTACAGTGATACAGGGTACTTGAAATGCTGTCAAGTTATAATTGTATAAGTATAATTAGTAGAACACTGAGCAACAGTGAGAAGAGATGAGTACCACACATGAGCCCTGTTGAAGGTTCTCAACTTTGCTTTTGTAGCATGAAAACAGCCCTAGACAAACATAAATGAACGAGGATGGCTGTGTTACAATACAAATTAGTTTATAAAATGGTAATATTTGAATGTAATATAGCTTTCACATATCACAAAATATCTCTTTGTATTTTTTTCAATCATTTAAAAAATGTAAAATGTATTCTTAGATCACAGGCTGTATAAAAATAAGTGGCAGGCCAAATCTGGCCCATGGATCATAGTTTGCCAACCACTCACTTATGCTATAAACTTTTCCTGAAAGAAATCTTCAACTTTTAATTTCTTAAATATAACACCTCTCCAGGTACACTGGTCCAGAAACAACAAAACATAAACAAAAAACCCCAATAATAAGAATATTAAAAAAATTCAACTTTAAAAATGGGTAAAGGATTCTGAATTTCTGCAAAGATAGACAGATGGCCAATAAGCACATGAAAAAATGCACGTACCATCATTAGTCATCAGGGAAATGCAAATCAAAATCACAATGAGATGCCAATTGCATCTATTAGAATGATCATAATAAATCAGGGGGAAAAAAAGGTAAAAGAATTCGTTGGTTGGCAGAGAAGTGAAGAAATTGGAACCTTCATACATTGCTGGTGGGAAAGTAAAATGGTTCCATCACTGTGGAAAACAGTTAAACATACAATTACCATGTGACTCAGCAATTCCACTACTAAATATACACTTGAAAGAATCGAAAGCAGGTGTTCAAACAAAAACTTGTATGTAAATGTTCATAGCAGCTTATTCATAATAGCCAAAAAGTAAAAACTAGCTCAATGTTCATCAACAGATAAGGCAATAAATAAAATGTGGTGCATCTATACAATGAAGTATTATTTGGCCATAAAAATAAATGAAATACTGATACATGCTACAATGTGGATGTTTCTTGGAAACATTATGCTAAGTGAAAGAAGCTAGAAATAAAAAGCCACATACTGTATGATTCCATTTATATGAAATGCCCAGAAGAGGCAACTCTATAGAGACAGAAAGTAGATTAGTGGTTGCCAGGGGGTAGGGGAAGGGAAGAATTCGGAATGACAGCTAATAAGTACAGCGTTTCTCTTGGGGAGATAAAATGTTCTGAAATTAGATAGTGGTGGTGGTAGTATAACTTTGTGGATATACTAAAAATCACTAAATTGTATACTTTAAGGGGATTTTTTTTGATGCTACGTCTCAAAAATTTAACTAGTTTTTCAAAGTCTATGGCAAAATATTACATTTTAGATATTTCAATAAGAGATTACTGTTTCTTAACTATAAAACAAAAGGGAGTATTCAAGTTGTATTGCATGTTGTACCTGTGTAAAAAAACTACACAAATTTTTTTATTTACGTGTGTTTATAAGTCTGTAGAGTTTATAATAGCAAAGCAAATAGACCATTAGCTAAGTTTTCGGATTTTTTTGTTGTTATTGTTGCCAATTCTATTTGTTTTCATGGCTCTTTCCAAAATAGTATTTGATGTGGAAAATAAGAATATTTTCTGAGTACTGAATGTGAGTGCTAGAAGAAAAAGTACTTTGAAAATGTAACAATTTAATAAGCAATAAATTTAAATTTCAGCAGTCCCATCTTTACAAAAGTACTTAAGAGTTACTAAAAATCACTACCATACTAGAGCTACTATTTACATCTACCAGCCCTATAAAACAGCGTGAAGAGTTACCTCTTTCTCCTCTGGGCAGTACAGGGGCCCTGTAGGATGAAGAACAGCTTTCTGTGCATAATAAAAGAGCTCTGATATGTTCTTCAGGTTTTTTGCTGAACACTAAAAAAAAAAGTTCAAAATTTTACACTCTGAAATCAAGTAGGAATAATTTTTTTTTTTTTTTAATTGGGATCTCACTCTGTCACCCAGGCTGGAATGCAGTGGCATAATCACGTCTCAGTGCAGACTTGACCTCCTGGGCTCAGGAAATTCTTCCACCTCAGCTCTCTGAGTAGTTGGGACTACAGGCATGTGCCACCAAATGTGGCCAATTTTTTAATTTTTTGTAGAAACAAGGTCTTGCTATGTTGTCCAGGCTGCCCTGGGCACAAGCAATCCTCCCATCTTGGTCTCCCAAATTGGTGGAATTATAGGCGTGAACCACCATGCCTGTCCTAAAAACAATTTTTAAACTATCAGTATAAGGTAATAGTAATAGTAATTTTCCTTGAAGAAAATTAAAAGTGCATTTTTCATTGTGGACAACATAATATGAATGTCCACAAAGAGCTCAGAGCCCAGCTCCAAGTTCTCTGTTTTATTTGGTTTATTTGACTTCAAAAAGAACAGGAAATTGATTCCATTCCACATTGTCCCCCCTCTTATTCAGAAGCTCAATTAAGTAAGAATTCAGCAACAGTCAGTTTTCAAATCAAATGATGAGGCATACCTCCACACAGGTTTCTATTTCTGTATACTGGTTCATAATAGGAAGGATGGTCTCCATACTACTATATTCCACCAGATCAGATTTGTTCCCAACCAATATCAAAGGCAGCCTGAAATAAACAGGACATATTGTAATAAGGAAGGTAAAAGACATTAGATTTATATTTTAAATTACATAACCCATTCTAACTAAAAAGCCTTCACTATAGTCATGTCAAGTCCCTGGATAGCAGTTCATTCACTCATTTCACGCATATCTGTTGAGCACCTGTAAGCCATATACCATTCCAAGTATTAAGGACATGAGGCAGAGAAGGTCTCTGCCCATTCTAATAGTGAAAAACTGAAAATGAACAATAACAAAATAAGTAAATAATTTCCGGGGCTGGGCGTGGTGGCTCATGCCTGTATAATCCTAACACTTTGAGAGACCAAGGCAAGAGGACTGCCTGAGCCCAGGAATTTGAGACCAGCCTGGGCAACATAGCAAGACCCTGTCTCTACAATAAGTTGGAAAAAAAAATTAGTCAGGTTTGGTGGCAGGCTTGTAGTCCCAGCTACTTGGAAGGCTGAGGTGGAAAGATCACCTGAGCCCAATGAGTCAAGGCTGGGGTAGCTATGATTATGCCGCTGTACTCCAGTCTCAGTGACAGAGTGAGACTCTGACTCAGATGATAATAATAATAATAATTTCCAACTCAATAAGTACCATGCAGGAAATAAATAGGAGTATAGAGGAAAGAGATAGGAAGGAGCTAATTATATAAAGTAGTCAAGAAAAATCCTCTCTGAGTAGATGGCATCTGAGCCAAGAAGTGAAGGAAAAGACAAAATAAGGCTGGGTTCGGTGGCTCATGCCTATAATACCAGTACTTTGGGAGGCTGAGATGGAAGAATTGCCTGATTGCCTGGGTTCCAGACCAGCCTGGGCAGCTTGGTAAAACCTCATCTTCACAATAAATCAAAAAATTAGCCGAGTGTTACAGTATACGCCTGTAGTTCCAGCTACTTGGAAGGCTGAGGCAGAAGGATCACCTAAGCCCAGCAGGTCAAGGCTGTGGTGGCCATGAGCGGGTCACTGCACTCCAGCATAGGCAACGGAGTGAGACTCCAATTCAAAAAAAGAAAAGAAAAAATATGCCATGTAGAGTCAGGGAAGACCTGGCCAGGAAGAAGGGACAGCATGTGCAAAGGCTTCAAACTGAAAACACATTCTGGTGGGACCAAAGAACAGGAAAATGGGCCAGAGCACTGAGCAAAGGGAAGGAGGTGTGAAATGGATTAGAGAGGGTCAAAGGTCAGACACATAAGGACTAACAAATTGGGATAAGGAGTGTAGGTTTGACTGATTGTAAAATGGGAAGCCACTAAATGGTTTGAAGCAGGGCGTTGACATTTTTTTTTTTTTGAGTCAGAGTATCACTCTGTCACCCAGGCTGGAGTGTAGTGGCACACTCACAGCTACTGCAGCCTCAATCTGCTGGCTCAGGTGATCCTTCCACTTCAGCCTTCCAAGTAGCTGGAACTACAGGCATACGCCAACATGCCCGGCTAATTGATTTATTGTAGAGATGAGGTCTCCCCAAGTTGCCCAGGCTAGTTTCGAAGCCCTGGGCTCAGGGAATCCTCTCACCTTGGCCTCCCAAAGTGCTAGGATTATAGGCGTAAGTCACCATGCCTGACTTTGACATTTTTTAATGCAGTTATTTGTTATCTTTTAGAGATATATACTGAAATATTGACAGCGTGATATAGTACCAGGATCATTTGCTTCAAAATTATCCTGGTAGAAGGGGTAATAGATGAAACAAGATTGGTCATGAGTTAATAATTGTTGAAAACTGAATGACAGATACACAAAGACTCATTAATGCATAAGTTCATAGCATTTGTTTTTGGCATGGCAAAACTGCAGTGTTCAGAGTTTGTCATTTGAGGCAATAATGTTGTGTTTGTGAATATACCTTGCATTCTGCAGATCTGAAGAAAGTTAGTTAAAGAAAATGGAGTATTAATTGGAAAAAAATGAATACTTACAACATATTCTATTGTTCAAATTTAACAGAGGAATAAAGGCAGTGGAGTCAGCTCAAAATATTTGTACATGTATGGGGAGAATGCCATCGGGAAAAGCAAGACAAGAAAAAGGTTTCGATGTTTCAAAGAGGGTCTCTTTGACCTGAGTGATTCTTCATGTTCAGGAAGATTACTGGGCTTTGATGAAGACCATTTAAACACTTTAATTCATGATGATCCACATAAGTCAACCAGAGAATTGGCAAATGTGATAAACTGTGACCAGTCAACCATCACGCAATATTTGCATTCCATGGGCAAGTGAAAAACGCTGTGAACTTATGCATCAACCCAATACTATTCTCTCTACCTTAGTATTTTGATTTTTGTCATTAAGAAAAAAAATTTTTTTAAATGATGACTTGGATTAGAGCAGTGATAGTGATGTCAGAGAGGAAATATTCAGATTTGAGAGATATTTTAGAAGTATAACTGATAAGAGCAACTAACTGGCAGATAAGATCTGAAGGTTGAGGGAAAGGTAGAAATCAAGAAAAATATATAGGTTTTGGATGGAGAAAATGGGTAGATCTCCTAAGACAGACAAGATTGAGAGAGTTTTGTTATTTGTGCTTTGGCAGGGGATAGGTGGAAAATTAAGAATTTTGCTTTAGAACAATTAAATCTAGCCAGGCACAGTGGTTATACTTGCAATCCCAGCACTCTGGAAGACCGAGGCAAGAGGATTGCTTGAGGCTAGGAGATCAAGACCAGCCTGGACAACAAAGTGAGACCTAATCTCTTAAAAAATAAAAAAATTAGCCGGGCATGGTGGTGCATGCCAAGTCCCAGCTACTTGGAAGACTGAGGCAGAAGTATCATCTGAGCCCAGGAGGTTGAGGCTATGGTGAGCCATGATTGTACTATTGCACTCCAGCCTGGGCAACAGAGTGAGGGAAAGGAGGGAGGGAGGGGGGAGGGATGGGGGAGGGAGGGAGGGAAGGAAGGAGAGGAGGAGGGAAAGAAGGGAAGGAAGGATAAAGTAAATGTGAGAAGCCTATGGGGAAATCTAAGTGGGAATATTATAGTGGACCAGCCTAGTGAAGGACTGTTGTGAATTTTGCAAGAGAGTTTAGAGGGAAAGCAAATAATCCTGCTGAAACTCCAGATTGTATCAGAAACACTTGCAAACATTTAGCTTACTTTACCCTTGGTATGACCATATGCTTAAAAAGACTGCCCACTACATAAACTAAATATACATTCCTGACAGAGCTAGGAGAGTTTCCAAACATGTAGTTGTTTGTAATCAATGGTATGCATCAGAATAATTTATGGAACTTAAATATACATTCATACATACATGCCCAAGCCCTGTTCCAAACTTACTGATTCTAAAATCCCAGGGGTGAGATAAAGGCATCTATATGTTTTTGAAAGTGTCTCAGGTGTCTCTGATTAAGAACCACTGTGACAACGATCCAAGAAAGTCCTAAGGAAGAATAAGTGTGTAACAAATATAAACTAAAGATATAAGACCCAGGGAGGAAGGTATTAGAAAGTGCAAGATTGACATAATAAAAAATAAATTACCTTTGGAAAAGTCAACAACAAGAAAAGTGTGCGTGCTCATGTGATTCAGGAAGGAAAAAAAAAAAGTCCAGGGATAGGCTCATGCCTTGAGTGTAGACCAGAGCCACACATGCGAATGCTAAATTAGATCTTCAAGTGTCAAAAGTCACTTCCAGATGGCACTAAAAGGGTCACCAAATAAGCCAAAGCATTTTAGGAAGCTGTCATAACAAAGTAAAAAATGCTTAACTCAGCAGCCCAAGCTGTGCTTGATAAATCCTGGCAACATCACCTTCTCTGAAGACTCCCTCCTAGAAATGACTCAAGCAATCAACAAAAAAAGCAACTATTAGGAGCATATGAGTGTTGTATCCTCCAAGGTAGCCCTGTCTAATAAAACAGTCTAAGATGATGGAAATGCCCTTTATCTGTACTGTCCATTACTGTAACTACTAGCTAGCAACATGTGGCTATTGAGCTCTTGAAATATGGTTAAGTATATCTCAGGAACTGAATTTTTTCATTTTATTTAATTTTAACTAATTTAAATTAAATCATTAAAACTAGAAGCTACTGCATTGGATAGCATAGCTCTACAGGGTCATGCTCTCCTTCCCACCTTGTCAAGTCACCACAAAGTGAAAACCATGATAAACAGAAGCCAAAAGAACTCAAGGCGTAGCACATACAATGCCATCTGAGTCACAGTCTCCTTACCATAAATATGTAAGGCAGAAAGTCAATGACCATGGTCATCTGTTTAAAACTAGATCTTTAGAGTTTCAAGGCACAAAAATGCCCCGCTAAAAGAGAAATCTAAAAAACTGAATAAAAAAACCAAATGTGTACAATACATAGATATTCATCTGGTTTTCCTATTTTGTTTCATTATATTATTATTATATTAAATAATATATATATATATTTGTTGGGGGTCTTAGTCTGTCACCCCGGCTGGAATGCAGTGGCATAATCACAGTTTACCACAACCTAGACTTCTTGGACTCAGGTGATCCTCCTGCCTCAGCTTCCTGAGTAGCTGGGACTACAGGCATGTATAGGCTAATTTTTTTTTTTTTTTTGTAAAGACAAGGTCTTGTTTTGTTGCTCAGGCTGGCTTCAAACTCTGGGGCTCAAGTGATCCTCCTGTCTCAGCCTCCCAAAGTGCTGGAATTACAGGTGTGAGCCACCATGCCAGGCCTGATTTTCCTATTTTAAAAGATTCAAAAGCTTCATAAATAACTTATTTTCAACTACATAATATTGCAAGAAAATGTTTTGTTCTACTTTGACTTAAAACTCAAAAAATTTAAACCCAGAACAGCCATTCTGCTCAGAAAAGCACAGAATGTGTGTTCCCTTGCTTTTTCTCTATCACAAATGTATTTTCCAAAGAACTACAAAAAAATTTCTCTGCAAAAATTCCTAAATGAAGACTTCTATAGATTTCTAGAGAACTTATTAAGTACTTACACATACTTCATTACACATTACTTCATTTGATTCTCAAAATAACCACATGAGCCCAAGACAAGTATTATCCTCATCTCTACATACAGATGAGAAACTAAGAAGTAGAATGAAGTTGAAGTATTAGAGCTGCTAAGTGGCCAAACCAGATTTCAAAGATTGCTCATTTTTCTCCAAGTCCTGTGCTCTTGCATACACCATACTGTGTGCCATCAGTGACAGTGGGGAACACCATACCTCATCAAAAGATCATCTCAAGAGAGAAATATACAATACAGGTGGCAGATATATTCTAAAGTGGAGCCTTTTCAAGCAGCAGCAGTTTGAGAAAGAGAAATGTAAGATTTATGATCAAAATATTTAATCTGTCTGAAATTGTGAGTCATTACTGTACCAGAGCTCTGTTTCTTACTTTGCTCTCAAATATATTTGCTGCCTCTAATAATTCCCCTCTCCCAAAAGTGGGTGTGTGTGAACAAAGAGATAAACTGATAGATAAAGCAAGTGGGGCAAAATGTTAACAACTAGTAGATCTAAATGAAGGGCTGAGGGAAGTTCAATGTACTATTTCTTGCAACTTTCCTGTAAGCTTGAAATTTTTCACTACAAAAAGTTTGAGGAAAAAAATACCTGCTGTCTTTGTCCGTTCTCTCATTTATGAGAGGAATCCACCGACTTGTGACCTAAAATGAAAATTAACAAGAGCTTAGCCATGATAAGGATCTTCTTTGAAAAACACTATGTTCTTAGACCCCTAAAATTCTAAGTTGAATATCAACTTTGGAAGTGCTCCATTGAAAATTAACTTTAGTTAAAAAAAAAAAGTAGCTTATTCATACCTTATCAATAGAATGCTTGTTGTTAACAGCATAAACTATGCAGATGACATTAGCCTAGAAGAAAAATTAACAAATTAATGGCATTTTTAAATAATAAAAATATAAACAGCATTTAGTTACCAATTAGTTAATATATCTGGGTGAAAGAAATAAACAAATTTAAATATTAAAACCAAAAAAAAGCTTTCTTCTAAGAAAAAAGTTCCTAAGGACCTACAGCAAAAATGAATGCTAAATATTAACAATAACAATGAAGAATTGAAAAAGCGCACTGAGTACAGTGCCTCATGCCTATAGGAGGCCAAGGAGGGAGAATCACTTGAGCTCAGGAGCTCAAGACCAGCCTAGGAAACATAGCAAGACCTCATCTCTACCAAAAAAATCAAAATATTAGCTGGGAATGGTGGTGCACATCTGTAGTCCCAGCTATTCAGGAGATTAAGGCAGAAGGATCACCTGAGCCTAGGAGGTAGAGACTGCAGTGGGCTGTGAACACTCCAGCCTGGACGACAGAGTAAGACCCCAACTCAAATAAAAAAAAAGAAAAAAAGTCCTCTTAGTAAATAAGAAGATTAAAAAGGCAGACTCAAGATCATCGCTGTTTTTCCACAAAAAAACTTACAACTATTTTTAAAAATTCACCTGTGATATTTCTTGATGAAGTTGCTCATCACTCTGTTCCGCTTCTAAAAATGACAAAAAGTCAACATTTCATACTGTAAATACTTTCACAAAAACTAATTGTCAATCAATTTCTTTAGAGTAATGGTAACAAGCGAATAAACAAACAAAACTAATAGTCAAGCTAAAAATCTATGTGACATCCATCTAACCTCCAACAAAATGACATGGTGTCGTGCCAGACTAAGTGAAACACAAAGGCAAGCCAGAGGAAGGAAGAAGTTGGACTAAGATAAAGTAGCTGACTGGCACTGAAAGACAAGTCTACAAGATGACAGCTAAGGCACAGAAGAGCATAGGCATTGTGTAATAAATCTAGGCCAGCATCTGAACCAGAGTTGAAAAGTGTCAAGCAAGAGATCAGAAATCCAAGCTAGAAGACTGGGTGCTGCAGAGTCAGAAGCTCAAAGAGTCTATACACATAGGATCAAAAGGCCACATAGGAATCTGGGTAATACAAGCTTAAGATCTAGATAGTAGGTAGGAGTGATAATAACCAGGGCCTAGAAGCAAAACCATAACACAAAAATAAAAAGTCAAAAACTCTCTGTCTAGCGTATATCTCTAGCTAGAACTGGTCTCAATGGGTGGATTTGCCTGCAATTCCACAGGTGCATGGAATATGAATGATACAGCTAGGAAGAAGAAGCAAGGAACTGAAAAACAAAGCAATTATTGGCATATTAATTAGACCATCTTAGGTTACATATGTCTCCCCCTAAAAATGACACATAAACTGATATTATATGAGTTCAATTGCATTTTATATTACACTAAATAGCAGGCTATATTTTTAATATCTTTACATATATTGAGTAGCTAATGGGTTAAGCTTCAATTCTAATACTGAAGTGAATCTAGTTATGTGGCTACACATCTTGAAAAAGAATAATTCTGTATATAAACCTAGTTATGCAGCAGACTGTAGCAAAAGGCATTCATCCCCACAGCTTCTAGTACAGCGCTGTCCGACAAACAATGCAAACTACATATGTAATTATTAATTTTCTAGGAATAATCTTTAAAAAGGTAGGTAAAACAGGTAAAGTTAATTTTTAATTAAACCCAAAATATCAAAAATATTTAAATTTTAATTATGTACTCAATAGGAAAATCAATGAGATATTTTACATCCTTTCTTCATACTGTCTTCAAAATCCAGTTATATATTACACTTACAGCACATTTCAATTTAGAATAGTCACTTTTCAAGTGTTCAATAACCACAAATATTTTGGGACCTGACTTAGTAATTTGGGGACAGAAAACTGCCAGATGGAGACTTTGGGGGAGGAGTGGGGCGGGAGTTGACAGAGAAACACAGATGAGGCAAGAACAGCAAAGGATCATTTACTGTTACGGGGAAGAGATTACCTCTCTGAACAGTTTTAAAAGCTCAGTAAGTACCTTTTCTCAAGACTATTAAGTTAACCCTACAGCTTCACCTACAAGAGGATATCCATTACCTGAGTAATCTACAATGTGTGTTGGAACTCTCTCAGGGGTGACATCAGCTGGAATGGTGATTTCTTCTGCTCGGGGAGGAACCTTCATTTGCAAACACATACAGAAAAGAAAAAAACCTCTGGATGTTATCACTAAAACTTGTTAACAGATGATGTAAATTTATCTATACAAACTGAGTATCTCTAACCCCCAAATCAAAAACCATCCAAAGCCGGGCTCAGTGGCTCAGCCTGTAATCCCGCGCCTTTGGGAGGCTGAGGTGAGTGGATCACCTGAGCCTAGGAGGTAGAGACCCGACTGCACAGCGAGACCTCATCTCTACAATAAATCAAAAAATCAGCTGGGCATGGTAGCGCATGCCTGTAATTCCGGCTACTCGGAAGGCTGAGGCGGAAGGATCACTGGAGCCCAGCAGGCGCAAGGCTGAGTCGGAAGGATCGCTGGAGCCCAGCAGGCAAGGCTGCGATGGCCGGGAGCAGCCATTGCACTCCAGTCTGGGCGACAGAGTGAGACTCCAACTCAAAAAAACAAAACAAACAAACAAACAAACAAAAAAGATCCAAAATCTGATGCATCTAATGCTCTTTGGAGCATTTCCGATTTTCAGATTGGGGATACGATACTCAATCTGCAAATATAACACAAATATTTCAAGATCTGAAAAAAACCTGAAATCCAAAACACTTCTGGTCCCATGCATTTTGATAAGGGATACTCAACCTGTATTAGCCTTTTCACGTATACTCATTTGTTGTACTTTCAAGAGCTTATTTTTGTGCTTTACTACAGATTTAAATATACATTAAAACTGTACTCTAGGCTGGGTGTGGTGGCTCATGCCTGTAATCCCAGCATGTCGGGAGGCCGAGGCAAGAGGACTGCCTGAGCCCAGGAGTTCCAGACTAGCCTGGGCAACATGGCACACCTCGTCTCAACAATAAATCTAAATATTAGCTAGGCATGGTAGGGTGCTCCTGTAGTCAAAGCTACTTGGAAGGCTGAAGCGGAAGGATTGCCTGAGCAGAATAGGTCGAAGTTGCAGTAATCATGACTGTGCCACTGCATTCCAGCCTGGATGACAGAATGAGGCTCCGACTCAAACAAAAAACAAATTTTTTTAAAAACTGTACTTTTTAAAAAACTGTACTTTTTAAAAAAAACCACACTTCTACCTATGTAGGTAGAAATATTAAGGATACTTCAGATCTGAAACAGACTCAAACAATTCTTTTTTTGTCTTGAGTCGGGACTCACTGTCACCGAGGCATGATCACGGCTCACCTTAGCCTTGATTTCCTGGATTCAGGCAATCTTCCTGCCTCAGCCTCCCAAGTAACTGGGACTACAGGCACACACCACCATGCCTGGCTAATTAAAAAAATTTTTTTTATAGATGAGGTCTCGCTATATTCCCCAGACTGGTCTTGACCTCCTGGGCTCAAGTAATCCTCCCCCTAGGCCTCCCAAAGTGCTGCAATTATAAGCGCGAGCCATGGTGCCTGGCCTCAAACAATTCTTAAATTAATTTGGTGTTACAAGCATTAGATTTTTAAAATATTGGCTGGGTGCTGTGGCTCACGCCTATTCCAGCACTCTGGGAGGGGAGCAGCTGCCAGCACTCTGGGAGGAGGATCACCTGCACTCTGGGAGGAGGATCACCTGCACTCTGGGAGGAGGATCACCTGAGGCCAGAAGTTCAAGACCAGATTTGGTCAACATAGCAAGACTCCATCTCTATTTAAAAAACCAAAAAATGTTGTTATTCTATTTTATTGAAAGCTTAAGATACTCTGTGACTAAGAAGCTATGTTAATACAAAACAATCTTCAAATAACCAATAAGTTATCAAAATTAATTTCTTCTAGAAGGTACGTGACTGACTTCATAAGCCTTATGTTTAATGATTCCATTCTTTTAATTAATTAAAAACCCTTATTCACACTCAAGAGGAATTCACTGGCTGGGCATGGTGGCTCAAGTCTGTAATCCCAGCACTTTGGGAGGCCGAGGTGAGAAGGTTGCCTGAGCTCAGGGGTTCGAGACCAGCCTGGGCAACTTGGTGAGACCTCATCTCCACAATAAATAAGAAAATAAGCCAGGTGTGGTAGCGCCCACCTGTAGTTCCAGCTACTTGGAAGGCTGAGTGAGGCGGGGGGATCGCCTGAGCCCAGCAGGTCGAGGCTGCGGTGGCCATGTGTGCCACTGCACTCCAATCTGGGCAACAGAGTAAGACTCTGACTCCACAAAAAAAAAAAAGAGGAATATACCAAAACAATCCTAAATTGAATCAAACTATCAGAAAACTTTTAGGTATTATATCCCAAGTGATTATAAATCAAATTTTCCTGATTCCACAAAAAACACATGAAAATATACTTCATTTCTCAAATTAAGTAATTATTTGTTTAGCTTTCTTATCTAATAGAAAAAAACAAAAACAATGAATAGTCATATGGTATCTGCAAATATTGAAAACACTACCATAATACATTAAACTCATGCCTGAACAATGAAATTATACAGATATTCTAATCCAAACTATAGTAAAAGGAAGGTAACCAGACTTGGTGGCTCATATCTGTAATCCCAGCACTTTGGGAGGCCAAGCCAGAAGGATCACTTGAGCCCAAGAGTTTGAGACTAGCCTGGGCAACATAGCAAGACCTTGTCTCCACAAAAAATTTAAAAATTAGCTAGAGTTGGGCTCGGTGGCTCAGCCTGTAATCCTGTGCCTTTGGGAGGCTGAGGTGAGCGGATTGCCTGAGCCCGCGGGTTCGAGACTCGCCTGGGCAACTTGGCAAGACCTCG